GACAAACAATGCCTCCAAGCAGAAGTAAAACGCCGCCCCCTGCTCAAGGAATTCAAGGAAAAAGAGATGTAGCTAAAGGTAAAGTACCTAATGCAGAAAAGAGAGAGCCTGGTCCTAGACAGGCAGCTGTAAATGCAGCTGTTCAAAGAGTTCAGGTACTGCCAGATGCTGATACGCTATTACATTTTGCCACAGAAAGCACACCAGATGGGTTTTCTTGCTCTTCTAGCCTGAGTGCTCTGAGTCTCGATGAGCCATTTATACAGAAAGATGTAGAATTAAGAATAATGCCTCCAGTTCATGAAAATGAACATGGAAATGAAGCAGAATCTGAACAGTCAGATGATATGAAGGATAACCAAGAGAAGAAAGTAGAGAAGCCTACTGAAGCAGAAAAAGACATTCTGGATGATTCTGATGATGATGATGATATTGAAATACTGGAAGCCTGTATTATTTCTGCTATGCCAACAAAGTCTTCACGTAAAGCTAAAAAGCCTTCTCCGGCATCTGCTCCAAAAATACCTCCTCCTGTAGCCAGAAAGCCCAGCCAGTTGCCAGTTTACAAACTTTTGCCTTCACAAAACAGACTGCAATCCCAAAAGCATGTGAGTTTTACACCGGGAGATGATATGCCACGGGTATATTGTGTTGAAGGTACACCAATAAATTTTTCAACAGCTACATCTCTGAGTGATCTCACAATAGAATCACCCCCAGCTGAGTTGGTCAATGTAGACAGTGTGGGTTCGGGAGCAGAGACAGGGGAATTTGAAAAGCGAGACACCATTCCTACGGAAGGCAGAAGTATAGATGACTCTCAGAGAGCAAAAGGCTCAACTGTGACCCCCCCAGGCCTGGATGATGACAGAACAGAAGAGGGTGATATTCTGGCTGAGTGCATTAACTCAGCTATGCCAAAAGGAAAAAGTCACAAACCTTTCAGAGTGAAGAAGATAATGGATCAAATTCAACAAGCATCTTCATCTCTGAGTAATAAAAACCAGCCAGAAGGTGAGAAAAAGAAGCCAACATCACCAGTGAAACCTGTTCCCCAAACCAATGAATACAGAGCACATATAAGAAGAAACACAGAGCCTAAAAGCAATATTAATAATGAAAGAAGCTATCCAGAGAACAGAGACACAAAGAAACAGAATCTTAAGAATAATTCAAGAGATTTTAATGACAAATTGCCAAATAATGAAGAGCGGGCAAGAGGAAGCTTTGCATTTGATTCCCCTCATCATTACACGCCTATTGAGGGAACTCCTTACTGTTTTTCACGGAATGATTCCCTAAGTTCTTTAGATTTCGATGATGATGATGTTGACCTTTCAAGGGAGAAGGCAGAATTAAGAAAAGGAAAAGAAGCAAAGGAAACAGAAACTAAAGACTGCACTAATTCAGAGCAGTCTTCAAATCAGCAACCAAGTAACAGGGCACAGGTTTGTCAAAAACACCCAACAGGCAGAAGCCAGCCTAAAACTTTCTCTCAGACAACTAAAGATATTCCAGACAGAGGAGCAGCTACAGATGAGAAAATGCAGAATTTTGCTATCGAAAACACACCTGTTTGTTTTTCTCGCAATTCATCTCTTAGTTCCCTCAGTGATATTGATCAAGAAAACAATAACAGCAAAGAAGGGGAACCCTCAAAACATACTGAGGCTCCCAATTCACAGATGGAAACAAGCAGACCACAGCCTTCTGGTTACGCACCTAAATCATTTCATGTTGAAGATACTCCTGTATGTTTCTCCAGAAACAGCTCTCTGAGTTCTCTTAGTATAGACTCAGAAGATGATCTTTTGCAGGAATGAATTAGTTCTGCTATGCCTAAGAAGAAAAAACCCTCAAGAATAAAGAGTGAAAGTGACAAAAATAATTCCAGAAATACAGGTGGTATATTGGCAGAAGATTTAACACTGGACTTGAGAGATATACAGAGGCCAGAATCAGAACATGGTTTCTCACCTGATTCAGAGAACTTTGATTGGAAAGCTATACAAGAAGGTGCAAATTCTATAGTTAGTAGCTTGCATCAAGCTGCGGCTGCTGCATCACTGTCTAGACAGGCTTCATCGGACTCTGATTCTATCCTTTCATTAAAATCTGGTATTTCTCTGGGGTCGCCATTTCATCTGACCCCAGACCAAGAAGAAAAGCCTTTCACTAGTAATAAAGGTCCAAGAATTCTTAAGCCAGGAGAGAAGAGTACACTGGAGTCTAAAAAAGTAGAATCTGAAAGCAGGGGAATCAAAGGAGGAAAGAAAGTGTATAAAAGTATAATTACAGGCAAAGCTCGCTCCAATTCAGAAGTTTCCAGCCAGTTGAAGCAACCACAACAGACAAGTGTGCCTTCAATTTCACGTGGTAGGACAATGATCCATATTCCAGGAGTTCGAAATAGTTCTTCAAGTACTAGTCCTGTTTCCAAAAAAGTTCCTCCACTAAAAAACACAAACTCCAAGAGTCCCAGTGAAGGCCAAAGTTTAACTAGTTCTCCAAGAGGAGTCAAGTCATTGGTGAAACCTGAGCCAGCTCCTGTTACTAGGCAACCATCAGGATTTAACCAGAGTGGATCAAGTAAAGGACCTTCTAGATCAGGGTCTAGAGAATCCACTCCTTCTAGACCTCAACAGCAACCATTAAGTAGGCCTCTGCAGTCTCCTGGCCGAAACTCAATTTCCCCAGGAAGAAATGGTTTAAGTCCTCCTAACAAGTTGTCTCAGTTGCCAAGGACGTCATCTCCTAGCACAGCTTCAACTAAGTCTTCAAGTTCAGGTAGAATGTCATACACGTCACCAGGGAGACAGATGAGCCAGCAGAACCTTACAAAGCAAGCTACCTTACCTAAGAGTACCAGTAGCATTCCACGAAGTGAGTCTGCTTCAAAAGGGTTAAACCAAGCTCTCAGCAGTGGTGGATCAAACAAAAAGACTGAACTATCCAGAGTGTCATCCACAAAATCTAGTGGAAGTGAATCTGACAGATCTGAGAGACCTGTTCTTGTTCGTCAGTCAACTTTTATTAAAGAAGCTCCGAGTCCAACTCTAAGACGGAAATTAGAAGAGTCAGCTTCATTTGAATCTCTGTCTCCTTCCAGGCCAGATTCTCCCACAAGGTCGCAACTACAGACCCCAGTTTTAAGCCCATCTCTTCCTGATATGTCTTTATCCACTCATTCAACTGCCCAGACTAGTGGTTGGCGAAAATTACCCCCTAATCTGAGTCCTTCTGTAGAGTATGATGGGAGACCAGTGAAACGTCATGACATAGCTCGTTCTCATTCTGAGAGTCCGTCTAGATTGCCTATCAACAGATCAGGAACATGGAAGCGTGAGCACAGTAAGCATTCCTCGTCACTTCCTCGTGTCAGCACTTGGCGAAGAACTGGAAGTTCCTCCTCAATTCTGTCAGCTTCTTCAGAATCCAGTGAAAAGGCAAAAAGTGAGGATGAAAAGCAACATGGAAGCTCTCTTTCTGGACACAAGCAAAGTAAAGAAAACCAAGCACCAGCAAAAGGTACTTGGAGAAAAATAAAAGAAACTGAAATTCCTCAGATAATGAATGATCCTCAGCATTCTTCGTCAGGTGCCACAAATGGCTCTGATTCCAAAACTCTCATCTATCAGATGGCACCAGCTGTCTCTAAGACAGAGGACGTGTGGGTGAGGATAGAGGACTGCCCAATTAACAATCCTCGATCTGGAAGGTCCCCTACTGCAAATACTCCCCCTGTTATTGACAGTGTTTCA